GGCCGGTCGAAGAATAGCTAACAATCGGCCATCCTGTATCCGGGACTCTCGTCTTTTCCCGAACTTCTTTGCAAGAACATCTTCATTGGCATGTAAACGAAGGAATGTGGAAAGAGAATGGCAGAAGCGCAAGGGATGGCGAAGAAATTAAGGCCCATTGGAAGCAGGCTGCTGATAATTCGTGCAGAACTTGGGTGTATCGTAGCGTGAAGAGATCTCGAGACTGATTCTGGAGCCAACTACTATGGACGAGACTTCGCTTGTATTTATGGCAGGGACTTGCCAGTTTCCGTTGCCCTCTACCCATTAACCTATGTAACGTATATCGAGGAGACTGTTTTGTATCCGCGGCCTAGTTTCGGCTCGTATGGGTAGTCTTACAGGTATGGGGTCACGCACCCCCAACCATGTAACACACACACACACACACACACACACACACACACACACACACACACAAGCGTTGGGTGCCCAAGGCGAATCCAGAAAATCCAATGCATCCATGAAGTTAGCAAGCGCATGGCCGAACCTCCTAGGCGATCGGGCCGCACGCAGACACGCAGAAGCGCAATAGCTAGGACAGATGGCAACGGTGGGGCGGGCTTTATTGCAATTCAAAATGCACGTTCCCTTGAAGGCGGCATTGGTCCATGACATTCCCATCGGGACATTCTTTCCTTTTTGTGACGTCACATTGTGGGAGTAATCGGTTGACGTGATGAATTCCAGCTGTCAATTGCAATTCGAATTGCTTGTCGCGTGAAGTCGCGAATCAGGCCACACAACAATCGCCAGGTTGTTGTATGCTGATGATTACAACCTATGCTGTTTACACCTTGATTTGTTTTATTTGATTGAGATGTGAATTTCTGCTTTCGCGACACCGTTTGGAATGTGCACAAATCTTTCGGGGACATGGGAGCGCTTTATCCACGCCGTAATTCAACCTCTTCCCAGGTATCAGTTGTTGATAACACGGATCATGAAAGCCGTGATCCATGGCTATTTATCCAGGTTGGAATCCCCCCGTGGCGCGGAGGCTGTAGCCCCAACAAGCGTGATACGATAATACTGCCACCATTAAGTGTTCATATAATCATCAGTCAAGGAAATTAAACTCACAACCCTGCCAGTGCAGGCAAAGAGTATTGAAGCAACGAGTTCGCGTTTCATACAAGGACTATGTTGACCAGTGTTAAGGGCAGCAAGCTTGCGGCTAACCAAACTATTCAATAAGTACTATATTTGACATATGAAAGATATATCAGTACATGTTCTTAGGTGGGTTTCGTCAAAACCGTACTTGGGAGACGCCCTTTCGTCTTCGGCAGCGTCCCCACCCTAGTCTAAGGACTGAGGAGTATCGTACACAGGCTAGACGTCCCAGCAGCTCGGTTGAGAGCAGGGTCTCCATGGAAGTCTGATTACATATGCTAACGGAATGCATACAGCCACTGTCCTCCATGCCATGACGCGGAGCGACCTGAGACCTTTTTAATCTGAAACGTTAAATCAACTGAGACGCCTGGTTACCCTGCTCCAACGGCTAGTTAGTAGAATAGGACTTAAGTGAGGCTTCTGCGGCCAACGGTCGGAGTTGGGCCGCGACTTCTTCTGGCCCCTCTCAGGATGTCCCATCCGGAGGGTGCCTTCTTAAGATATGTTTATTAAGTATCTGAAACTTTCAACTAGGCGCACCATTGTCGTCTAGACGGCGTTTCAGCCGATGGAACAACCGCGCGACGACGATGGCTCCCGGGCCGCGACTCCGGCGTCGCCGCACCGACCTCAAATCTCTCTGGATACAACAATATCTCCATCTGGCTCTATCGGCAGAGCAACGCCCTGCTCTGAATCAGGTTCGGCCGGAATGGGAACCGGCTCCATCGATGCGACAGCCGACATCACCCCCGCCGACTCTCCCCGGCCAGGAGATGATTTCTTGTGGACGGCAAACATCAGCAAAAAATGGACGAGCCATTCCGGGCCCCGAGTTCCTTCGGAGCTAAACGATGCCACGAGCGCCGGTGCCGTGAGCGGCCAGCCCGCCCTGCCCGCGGCCGCTAACCTGGAGATTAAATCCGTCCGGACAAGCGAGGATGAAGTACCTGGTGAAGGAGGACAAGCGCAAACATCGTCGCCGCAAGGCCAGGTAAGCCGCGCGCATCTCCGTCGCATCCGCAATTTGCGCGAGCGAATCGTGGCAGCCCCTGGCTTGCTTGAAACAATCATAACGCCATATGCCCTCCAAACAGACAATAAAAAAACATCCTTATAACTCCAAAGTCATGCCCATCTCTGGAATTTATGATAAACAAAGTTTGAATTGACCCTTGCTAAAACAAATTCCACTCCTGCTGCTCGCACGGGCGGTTTGGGCTGGGGGCAGACATTGCCGGCCCGGCCGGGGCTTCCCCTGGTCCCCTCCCTGCCGCTGGCGCTCTCCGTGGTCACACCTGCAACGAAAAACCCGCTGCCCGGCTGGGTTCCCACCCACGCGGACCTAGCAGTAAAGAAACGCAACACAGCCGGGGCATCCGGCACCACGGATCCCATGCGCGCCGCCGGCCTAGGTTTGGTGCTACCCACCAACGGAGAGCACACCTACCGGCCAAATGCCCTCTCCGGAGGACCGGCCGATTACACTGTCCGTGCGGCAGCTCTTGGCCGCGATGTCGATTTCAGTGCACGCTCCGTAATCGTGGGTAACAACGGGGAAGGAGGCACCCGTGGCGGTGTGCGCTTCCATCTACCCGACCTCCGTGTGCCATCGAGTCACAATGGTGAGTGTGCTGGCTCTTGGCTGGCTGGCTGGGTGGATGGGTGGGTTATGTGGCTGGGTGGGTGTGGCATTGTTGTAAATGTGTGCGGCTGTAGACATGTTGGGTTAGGCTCTGCTGCTTCAAGGGGGCTTGGGGACTTGGCAAACTCTGACTAGTCGCGTTGGGATAGTAGTGGTGCGTGTTCGCCGTGTAGCCGATATATGAGAACGCGTATGGGTTTGTGAGAGGCGGTAAGCTCAGCGGAGTAAAGCCACGAGCAGAAGGAGGCATCTACAAGGTGTCCGGGGAGGGGGCCTGAGGACTTCGCACGGGTACAGAGGCTCCTTCGGCTCATCTCATTTACACGGTTGTGCAAGCCGCTACATGTCCCCCTTGCAGCCTTCAGGAAGTGGATTAATATTATCGGCTTCTGTGCTGCACTCAGACCTGGTTCCCAAGCTCCCCTCCCTTCCCTTCCCACCATGCAAATCATCCTCGGCCGTTTCCGAGCTGTGCCTTAAACCTGATCTCCTTTCCCGTCCGCAGGCGTTTTGGCTGCCCGCCGGCGGCTAACCATGCGGCAGTCACTGGCGCAAAGACTTCGACCCACGGGTCAGTCAGGGCTGCGGTTGGTGTCGGGCTTCGTGACTTGTTTGTGGGCCTCTAAATGGGTGGACAAGCGATCCTGACAAATCCTGATTAGGAGCGAATAAGGGCGTGGAGAGAGGCGACAGGAATGGGAGGGGAGGAGAGAGGTTGCTTTGGGGAAGCGCAAAGCCTGAGGTGCTGGGTCGGCCAGCTTGGTGGTGACGCACACAACACAGTTCGTACACCAGCTGGAAGGTCTCTGGGGCCCAGGCCCTCATGTTATAGGGAGGAAACATGTACCTGTGGATTGGTTTTGCGTATGCATGCTTGTGGATTGCAGCGATGGCCTCCAAACCGCTCCTGGAAGCGGTCCACAACTATCCTTCCGCTCTCATTTGTACGTACCGGCCGTGCCGGCCTGCCTGGTTCTCCCGTTTCTTTCTCCGTTCATCCACACATCCGCACATGTCATTTCCCGGTTTCCATGCGTCCCTCCCTTCCTCCCTCAGAATCTGCGGATGCCACCAATGCTGTAGGCCGGTATCCTTCCTCAATCAATCCAAACATGGACGCACTGGCCCCCGCTAGCTCCACCCAGGGGCATCAAGGTAGGGATGACGGTAAATCGCAGACAGCTCTCAGCCTAGAGCTCTCAGCCTAGAGCTCTCAGCCTAGAGCTCTCAGCCTAGAGCTCTCACCCTAGTTCAACGTGGGCTGTGGACAGGACTCAGATCCTGAAGGCACCAAGGGAACGAAAAGCCGGAGGCGGAAGGGAGAGTGCAGGGCGGGGAGGGAGGCAGAGCAGAAGGGGGAGCAGCCACCGCATGGGATGGCAGGGAAGCGGAAGCGGCCTGGTGAAGGAGAGCTGTTTGCCGTACGGAGCAGCACAGGGCAGGGTGCCTCAGGGTGGGGCAGGGCAGGGCAGAGCAAGCTAGCTAGGGGCAAACCGCTATGTGGGCTGCGTGGACTGGGTTTGGATTATTGGACGGGTTGAGAGGCTGGGTGGATTGTTGAGAGGCCGCGGGGTGCGCAGCTGCGGCATCTCAACGGGGGCCCTCGTAACAACCGGGGGGGTGTCAGGTGGCCCCACCGACCCTCTGCCCAAGTCCCTGCAATCGAGCTCCTCTACAACGTCTACAAACATTTAGGCCAAGGAAGATCTTCCTCGCCTGTGTATGAATGTATGTATGTATATGTGTACATTTGGGTGGTTGCGATTACCCGGGCTCTCGTCGGCACAAGCGACCATATGCGGCTCGTATGGGTAGTCTTACAGGTATGGGGTCACGCACCCCCAACCATGTAACACACACACACACATATGCGAATAAAAACAAGGGAAAAAGAGGGCAGTGCAACACTGCCTGCATCCGGGTGACAAAAGGACAAAGTAGAGGAGGAAGAGGAAGACGGGGAGGGGGACGAAGTGTCCTGGCTCCGCTGCTTTCTCCCAGAGTCGGCCCGTCAGCGAATCAGCCGGGCCTTCCGCCAGTCAGCTTGCGCGCGAACCGCCTCTTAATTCCCCGTTAGGGAGCTGCCTCTAACCGGTCAGCGGCCTCGGGCGCTGCTGCCACAGCCGGGGCGATAGGTCCCTTCCCGGGGCCTTTCAAGGAGGACGCGCAGCAGACAGGTGGTTCGGGGGGGAAAGAGGGGGGCCCTGGGGGACAAGATGAACCTCAACAGCGTGGGTGGGTGGATGGGTGGGGGTTGAACGGTCGTTGGCTCGCTCTGTCGGGTGGTGGCGTTGAGCAGCGTAGGTGGCGTTCCACGGCTGCGGTAGCTGTGCTGCTGCCGCTGCTACTGCTGCTGACTGCACTCCACTCGGCAGGTGGGGAAACCGCCGCACCGAGAATCTCTCAAACCCGCTCCGAAACCCATTCAAACCAGCTGGGGATGTCGCGAGCGTGGTTTAAGCAACAGGGGGCGGGGGGTAAGGGGAACTGCGCGCCACTCGGGTTCCGCTGGTGCCGCCTCGTCAAACCGCAGCACCTCCCGTCACCCACACGTTTCCCTTCGTCCTCTCTTATCCCTCCTCCCACACAACCACTGTACTCAATTTCTAAAGCCTGCCTGGTTGTAGGGGACATGTACATGGCCCCTTCGACCACCCCCTCCCGTGGCCGCATCACATGCTCAGGGCTGGATCCGGAGAACCAGCGAGCCTCTTGCACAAGTGCGACTCACTCCAGTGCCGCCGGTGACGCACACCACACGCCCAACGTTGAGGTGTCAGGGAGCGGGGCCGTGGGATCGATGCCGGACGCACTAAGCCAGTTCAGTCAACGGCTGGTGCCATGGCGGCGGCGCCTCCTACAAGTGATGAACCACATATACTTTTACTGGCTACTCGTGTTCCTTACTTTCTTTATCATCTTTGAGGATGATTTTAAAAAGGCCTGCCTGCCGCCCACCGTAGACCTGCCGTTGGAAATCATCATCACCATAATCGTTGTTCTATTTTCGTTGGAAATGGGTGAGTAAATGTAGTATGGGGGTTCGGGTCGAGGGGTGATGTCAGGCTGTGTGCCTTGCTTTGACTGCTTGCCTCCGGGCACAGGGCGGCCCAACCAACCGTGATGTTCAGGTTGTCAAAGCGTCCTAAGGCATTCGTAGGATTTCCAGGGTCGCTTATTACGACGGGTAGTTCTCCAAAAACAAGGGATTTCACTTCGGAGCTTTAGTGCAGACAAAATTTGTGTTCATCTATCAAAAGCATTTCTATCTCTTTCAACAGACTGCGGAAGCTCATGATTCATAGTACTTGACGCTCAAAACCTTCGCAAAACATGCATGACTAATCCTTCATGTTCTGTTTGCTTTTTGTGCAGCATTATCGTCTTTGTTGCGCCCTGGCTATTTCCTTGGATTTTACTTTTGGCTGGACGCCATCGGCACGTCCTCACTGGTCTTTGAGGTGCCGACGGTTCGAATCAAATTCTTCGGGGGCTCTCAATACATCAACCTGGCGGATGGTGGCAGCTTTTTCAGCAATGCAGGAAATCAGCTTTACATTTCTAGCAAAGCAGGCCGCGTTGCGAGGGTGAGTGGCCGCGTAAACATAGAGAATAATGTCATTGTCCGCTCACTATTTTAACTTTTTGTGCTACTCCATGAGCAATTATTCACTCATTTTGATACTTTGCACACTGCTCTGTCGTACTCACGCCCCTTCAACAGATCTTCCGGCTAATGCGCATGTTGCGCCTGTACTCGATGTACCAGCAATACGTACGGCGCCGTCGTATCAGGCAAGCATTGCAGGCGGCGGGTGCTGCCGAAGTGGCGAATAATGAGGAGCAGCTGTCTATCATTGAATTTGAAATGCAGCAGGAGATGGACCGGAAGACTAAAGTGGGCCAGAAGCTGGAAGGTGCGGCGCCGCACCGGCACGTGGAACTGCTGCAAGCTCGCCCCCTTAGGAGAGCTTCCTCCCTTCCTTCCCTTGACCCTTCCTTTGATCGCCTTATCCCTACATCCCTACATCCCGTCCGCCGCTCGCTGAGCACTGACATTGACATCTGGAAAGCTGAAACCCAACTTGAACCCCCCCGGGGCTCCGTTAGCCCCTCTCGCCTTCTTGCCCTATCTTCCCGCTTCACTCCGTCCGTTTTACGTCTCTTCCCCCTAAAGGAGGAACTTTCCGGGATAACAGCTCCTTGCGCTCCTTTCGTCGCCCATGTCCTTCCCCGACCCTGTTCCCTCTTCCCTCCCCCCCCCGCTCACGCCTCGTCGGCGTCCTGCACTCACAGAGCTGACCACTCGGCGCATTATCGTGGGCTTGCTCATCATTATCCTGCTGCTTCCCGCCTTCGACATCCGTTTGGGCACCTTCGGCCGCTCCAAGACCGTGGGGGAGGGGGCCCTGCGCATTCTGCACGACATGGCCATTGAGCAAGGCCAGAACACCCCCTCCTTTGATACAGCGTTGAGGGTGAGCTCCGCTGCCCTCCCCCCTGGAGTGGTGCTCGCGGCTGGGAGCGGGAGGACTTGGGGGGCAGACGGGCAAGGAAGCGACATCGAGGGTACTGACGAAATTCGAATGGGAATGGGGACGCGGGTGTCAGCAACACCGGAAGTGTCACATTCTAAAAGCGGAGGGTATCTCACGAGTCACGATCCAAAACATGCTACGTGCTGAAGGAGGACCTGAGTAGCCGCCAAGGAGAGGGCTGTACTTGAGGGTTTGAGGGGATGGTTATTTATGTGACGTTTCGATTCTTAGGTAGGTGGGCAGCGAGTGACGGTTAATGGAATGGCTGTGATCCTGGGGCCGCTGACGTGGTGATATCCGTGGCGGGCGGGTAGCACCACTTGTGCAACACACCACTCGCCTCCAGACGACAACAGCACAGCACAGCACAGAGATCAAAGAGCGAGGCGTCAATGGCCTACGTTCAGGGGGCCCTTGTAGGGCCCTCATCTTGGGAGGATGGGGGAAGGCAGCACGCGCCGTCTCGGAAGACCGCCACTAACCGCCACTAACCGCCACTAACCGCCACTAACCGCCACTAACCGCCACCGGGGCCTGCTTCTCCCTAACAGAAAGGGCATCTATCCCCTGCCAAAGGACTCGTATTGTGCGGTCCCAAATACGAGCGTCCGTACGCCGTGCAGTACAAGTAGACGGCATATTTTTGCTGTACGAGATGACTGATTGTCCTTGAAACGTCTTCCCCCACCATATACAGGTTTTTAAGGAGCAACTGGTTTTTGGCACTGGCAGCAGATCCACCGGCTTCCTCTTCAGCCTCAAAATTGCAAATGTGACGCACATGGTGAAGTCGCAAGCGAGACGGCGGTTCGAGGAGTTGTACTACATGTCATTTACGACGGTCCTTGTAAGTCCCACTTATAGCCTCAGCACAATTTACAAGTCGTACACGTCACATGCCCGCGACATCAGCACCCACCCCGTCGTACACCGTCCCGTGCATGCGGCGTGTTTCCCACCACTGCACCGCTCAAACAGGCTGTGGTCAAACCGTGGTCTGCTAAGTTCAAATCCTGATTCAGGAAGGAGGAATTCGTACCTTCTTTTCTCTACCTGCCATATCCAGCACCGCAACATACGGACAGATTTTAATCGTGTGCCCAACAGGTTTCGATCCCGCCACGCGGCCCCGGGGACCCGCCACTATGCGTGGCGCAGGGATACTGGGGTCCCCTGCCGTAGGGCTCCAGGCAGCCCGCCACTTCTTCAAAAGTCGTTTTTTCCCTCCCTAGCCCCTTCACTTCCACTTCCCGGTTCCCTGTTTCTCGGTGGGGCGACTGAGCAATCCGGTCCATTCTCATGATCTCTGGAAATGCGCCGCCGGAAAACCGCTGCTGCTTCTCCCCCTACCACTCTCGTCGGCTGCCACAGTGCTCTTCGAATCTCTCCGGTGCAGCTGGCAACGGCACCATCACCAGCAACGACACCACCACCAGCGCCACGTCGCAGTGGACTCCGGCAGGCAATGGAGCCGCCGGCAGATGCGACCGCTTGGATACGTTTGCGGTGTACGACTGGCGCTGGTATTCCCAAGTGTCGGTGAGCGAGCGCGTGCGTGAATGGATAGATGAATAAATGATTGACTGAATGAACGAATGAATGAATGAGCAACAGCGGTAGACCGGAGGTAACCACCGAAGAGCCGCAAGTGGATCAACATGAGTGAAAATGGACCAGCACTCCGCTGGTGCTGGTGCTGGTGCTGGTGCTGGTGCTGGTGCTGGTGCTGGTCGTGCTGCTGACGTCGCTGCTGCTGCTGCTGCTGCTGCTATCGCTGTTGCTGCTGTCATTGCTGCTGCTGTCGCTGCTGCTGCTACTCCTGGTGGTGCTCGGTGTGGTGACTTGTGAACCTGAACCACCGTAGGTTGGGACTATATCATTCTAAGGAATGTCGAACGTATTGTCCACCTGTTTAGCTATGCCCGAGCCCGCCGACTCCTGCTTGGTGGCCATGGCTCCAAACTTACGGCATAGCCCGGGACTTGTATCTTGACGCCCTGTGAAGGGCGGATTGGATTGGCCTTCAATTAACGATTTGGCACCGCTGGCGAGGGGGGTCCTGATGGCGAATACTTTGCGAAAATAAATTAAGGTTGATAGTCCTAATATCCCCGGTTCCGTTACTACACGCTGGGGATCTTTGTCCCGAAACAAACGTTCCTTTTCTTCCTTTTATCTTTATTTTTATTTCTGCTGCTGCGCGTGCTGGACCTCTGCTGTTGTCGCTGCTGTTGCTGCTGCTGCTACAGGCCATGCTCAACATCGCCCGCAGCTTGTTCATCATCGCGCTGTTAGTGATGGGAGCTTTCTTCCTGAACCGGGACTCCCGTAACCTGGTGCTGATGCCCATTGAGCGCATGTTGCAGCGAGTGCAGGTGAGGGAGGGGGTAGAGGGGTAGGGGGGTAGGGGGTAGAGGGGGAAGGGGGGTAGGGGGGGAATAACGAGTGTGATGCGGGAGGGCTTGATGACGTAAAACTGTCGTCAGCAGCAGTAGCAGCAGTAGCAGCAGCAGCCATATGATGAGAAATCGCGGAGGTTTCCCCAAGCAGTAGTTTCGTGTCGGTGGTTGTGAGTTAGGGTTGGTTAGGGTTAGTTAGGGTTAATGAGTACGCACGCTGGTAATCGTGTACGGCTGCAGCAGGGGGCTAAGAGCTGGACGAGATTTGCAAAACGGGACAGGATCTGGGGACGGGGACTTTGATTGGCGACCTAGCTGCAGCGGCAGGAGTAGTGCATTCGGCTGTAGCGGAGATTTGAAGTTCGGAGCTAGAGGGCCTAGGGGGAAGGCCTGACCTGCCGTGGAGCCATCACTCCTCTACTGGTTGGGGTTGCTTCCTGTTTCCCTTCATCCCGTTTCATGCTAACTGTTGCACTGCTTTGCACTGCTGCAGGAAATGGCGGAGAATCCGCTCGCCATGGCCGAAAGCCGCCTGCAGCTGCAGGCGCCTTGGCAGGATAAGTGAGTACTCTGGGCAAACACACTGGCACGCCTGGTATTGGCACCAAAAATATACATACGTGCATACAGGCAGACAGACAGACAGACAGACACACACACACACAAACCGACTTTTCTCCAATTGCACGGTCCTAGCACCACAACCAACCAACCAACGAATTAACCAACCAAACAACCAGGGAGGTTAGGGCATCAGCTCTCTAAGAGCTGTAGCCGCCGCAGACTCTTACGCGCGTGGGCCTGACACCAGCGGGAGTGGAGAGGTGGCTGTGTTACAATTCGGGGGGCCGGCGATGACTTGAGGCTCCCAATGCTCCCAAATTCTCTGGAGAGGAAAGGCTAGCGTGCTTCGGCGGACTTTACTCCAGCGCAGGCCAGACCAGCTGCAGCGCCAAGCCCAGGCTGACATAACGGTGTTACCGTTACCCGCATACTCGCACTCACCCACCTAAACATGCACATGGGCCGTACACTCATCCGGAATAACACCCGAGTATCGTACAAACTGCCGCTATATCTCTATCTCTATCATGCATGTCATGGCGGTTTCGTACGGTGTACGGGGTTATACACAAAACTCGATTGCCATGGGCGTATATGCTCTATCTATCGTCCTGCGTCCGCGCCCGCCAACCCACTTCCATTCTGTCGGTGTTCCTTCCACTGCCATCCCAATCCTGAACCCCCTTAAGGCTCCAGAGACTCGCGGAAACGAACACACGAATAGCCGGCCCGGGGAGCAGCAATCGCGACAGCCTCATAACCAGTTTTGGCCTGGGCCGTAACAGCAGCTCCAGGAACAGCGATTCATCAACGCCGCCGCTGCCGCCGCTGCTGCCGCCGCTGCTGCTTACCGGCGGAAATACCGACGGCGGCGCCGTGGGCGTATCACCGGCGGGCAGCGATACCGCCACCGCCGCCGCCGCCGCCGCCGCCATCGCAAGCGGCAGCGGCAGCGGCAACGCTAGCGCCTTCACCGCGGGCGGCTCGCCGGGCGCCACTGACCGCAAGGCCACGATTTACCGGTCTGGCGGCGGGGAGCACGGCGCCTCGAGGCTTGCCCGCCTGTCCCTGGCGACTGCCGCCGACGGCCCCGGCAGCCTGGTGGCGGTGGCGGGAACCCTCCATCGGCAATCCCTCCGCTTCAACGCGATGGAAGCCGCGCAGGCGGTTTCGCCGTTCAGGGTACGCACTGTGTACTGCGCTGCTGTACTGTGTACTGTGTACTGTGTACTGCGCATGCTGTATTGTGTACTCTGTACTGCGCATGCTGTATTGTGTACTGTGTACTGCTCGTGTGTACTGTGTATGGCATCTGATTTACAATATGCAAGGCACAGCCGGTGCGGTGTTCTGCAAACTGTGGAGGCATCGTACGCGATGCATTGATTGGTTGTGTACGGCGTGTTCGGGGTGGTGGGGCGTACGGGGTTTCGGTGTGTGTATTGGAAGGGGCGTTATGGGGATGAGGACCCAGGTATGGGATCCCTTGTGCCTTGTCGGGTGATTGTTTTGCATAACAGCAATGTAATAGATTAGATTCTGCAGGTGGGTTCGAATATGGGACTGTTCCCACCACTGTTGCCACCGTTGTTGCCACCGTCGAAGGTCCGTAGCTGGAAGGAATATGGAATGAGGGCTACGAAAGCGGCGCTGCTGCAGACAACTGAATCTGCTGGCCCAGCTGCTGCCATGTGCAAAATTACACACACATACACACATACACACACATACACACACATACACACATACACACACATACACACACATACACACACATACACACACATACACACACATACACACACATACACACACATACACACACATACACACACATACACACACATACACACACATACACACACATACACACACATACACACACACATACACACACAAAGAAACAAACACAGCAGCCCTCGCCCGCCGCACACATAGCAAGCAATCGGCTATACTGAATATTATTACATACGTACATAGTGGAGCTCACCCACTTAAAGCTTACATACATACACACACATACGCCGTTGGGTCGCAGTCTTTCGCGCATTTTCCGTTAAAATGTTCTTCCAGCCCAGCCCCGCCCAGCCCCTGTCTGTCTGTCTGTCTGTCTGCTTGGTGCCTATGAGCTCGCCCAGGGCTCGTATGGTTGCAAACTTTGGCCGTATGGGTGCACACTTTGAACGGTAACGCGCAACTCCAGAAGGTGTAACGACCCCCAACATACGTGCATACATACGTACATACACACATACGTACGTACATGCACACGTACATACGTACATACACACGTACATACATACACAGGGCCAGCATACCGCTCCTCTTCCCCCTCCCCCCGTCGCTCCCTGGTTCGTCAGCGCCTGCGCCCGATAAATGGGGGGTGGGAGGTGGGGGGAAAGCCCGATAGCGCTAGTCCTGGTCGTCCGAAGACCGGAGAAACACATGAACCACAACTCAACCACAACTGAGGCAGCCGGCCCAGCGCCGCAAACCACCTGGCCACCCACCGTTATTCCCCCATCCACCGTTATTCCCCCATCCACCGTTATTCCCCCATCCACCGCTATTCCCCCATCCACCGCTATTCCCCCATCCGCTACTCACGGTTCCAACGTCCCCCCCCCACCACCACCGCCCTGGTTCCCCCCGGTCCCCACCTTCACCACCAGGCGAACCTCAGAGCTCGTTGGAGCCGCTTCCGGGACCGTCTTCAAGCTCTGGTGCAAAAGATGTGGGACTACCTGTGGGAGGGCCCCGGCGGGCAGGACGAGGAGAACGCAGCCGCAGCCGCCACCACCACCACGGGGAATCCCGTCCTTGGTGCAGGAGCGTACGAAACGGAGGTGTTGGAGAATTCCATCGCCAAGATTGGCGCACTTTTGGCGATTGGTTTCGGAGACGCCGGTGCTGAGGTCATCGCGGAGAATATCCGAAACGACGGTGACATCAACCCCATGGTGCCGGGCCGCAAGACGGTGGCGGTGTTCGGGTTTTGCGACATCCGGCGCTTCACGGACACGACGGAGGTGCTGCAGGTAGGTTGCGGAGTTGGTTGGGAGGTGGTTGCGGTTCGTTAGGATTTGCACAGCTTGGGGGTTGGGTTATATTAGGGTTTTTGTCAGCTTCGGGTGGTTGCAAAAGGTGGTTGCCTGTCAGGGAATGTGGACATGAAGGGGGATGAAGTATTCATCATTCATTTTTCTAGGGACAACAGATTTCGCCCAACCCGGGTGGGTGGGTAGGGCGAAGGGGTGCACAAGCATGCTGAAGATACATTTATTACATTACTCATATGTCCATTTTTGTGTTTCATGTTTTTCAATTTTGGGATCGATTTCAGTTTGCTGCCTTTTGGATTGCTCTCAACTTGTTTCTTTTTTTGTTTGTTTGTCATTCGGCCTCTGGCCCCCGTTTGTTGGCTGGTGGAGTTGTTGGTGGAGTTTGGTCAGTTACCAAAATATATGTTGTAGCTTTGGGTAATGATAACGGTGTCTCCCTATGTGTGTATAATATCATGGATGGACATACGTTACACCACTATGTCGTACAGACCGTTGGAGGTTAGGCCGTTGCGGTAATATTGACGCTACACCCTTCCCAAAAACAGCCTCGCCACGCGCTCGCTCGACCCCGCAGGAAGAAGTCATGGAGTTCGTCAACTCCATCGCCCACATCGTACACACGAGCGTATCAACCCACGGAGGCGCACCCAACAAGAACATCGGCGATGCTTTCCTGCTCGTGTGGAAATTCCCGCGGGCCGTACAGTTGCGAGATCTCAGCACTTTGAGCCGGTAAGTGCGCAGCCGTGTATGTGTATGTGTGTGTGTGTGTGTGTGCGTGTGTGTGTGTGTGTGTGTGTGCGTGTGCGCGTGGCTTAGGCGGGAACATCGCCTACGTCAAAACACAGTCCGCAGTGCAGGTGTGTGCGTATGTACGTATGTATGTTCTTGGGTAACCATTAAGACGTATGTACGTATGTATGTTCTTGGGTAGCCATTAAGATATTCGAGTCACGTAGTAGCCGTACGGCAGTTGTGGTATTTTGTAGAAATGGGGGAGCGCTCCTCTTTTAGATGTTGAGAAGGGAAGGGAAGGGAACCTTGAGGAGAAGGGAAGGGACTCGAAACGTTGAGGAGAAGGGAGCCCTAGGGCAAGGGGATCAAGCGGAGAGCACAACTTCAGGTGTGGCGTCTTGCAACTCCAGGCAGGCAGGTGTAGCAGCTGACCGCTGAAAAGGTCTCTCGAGTTGCTGGTGGTCGCGCTCTGCGCGTATTTATAGCGCCGTACTGTGTACCGGCTGCTACAGCAGGTGACCCAACCTAGCTGCAATGCCGCAACGTACTTCCCCCCGCACACAGGCGCGAACATATCGCCAACGCATCACAAGGTTCGGAAAGCAAGCGGGGCATGGAACGCTCCGCTTTGCACACCCCGCTCGGAACCGGCAGTATCGGCGGAGGGGGAGGTCTTGGCGGCATTGTTGGCGGCGCAGCCAACGGAGGCGGTGGCGCCAGCGGCAGCGGCAGCGGCAGCTCCGCCGCCGTCGCCGGCGCCTCCGGCACCCATCCTGGTTCCGCCGGGGGCCTTGTCGCCGGCAGTGGCGGCGGAGCCTCCGCCGGCGCCGCCGCCATCACTGGCCCAGCAGCCGCAGCCATCGCTGCCTCAGCTGCAGCCTCTGCCTCCGCTAGCCCTGGCTCATCAATGATCCCGTCTGTAGCCCCCAAGCCCTCACTCAGCGCATTGGCACTCAGCAGCGCTGGCCGCGTGTCCATAAAGCGGAAGTTCTTCTCCCTGGGTTCGAACCGCGTGGCCCCCGTCAACACAGGCGGTGATGGCTCTCTAAGTTCCAACAATCATCACATGTCGTACGTGGCAATGAACAGCCTGCCTCGAGTCAACACTCTCGCCCAATTTGCAGACGACTCCTTCCCCCTGACGGGTAGCGGTGAGCTGCGGTGCGAATGTGCGCCTGAAGGGGTGTGAGGGTGCGGGATCAGGAGGAGGGAGGCGGAGGGAGACGGAGGGAGACACATCACATCAATCCACACCATTACTTCCTTGATGCCACGAGTGGAACAGTATTCAATAACAATATAGAGTTTCGCCATGCCAACCACGTAATAAAAACGCAGTGGATTCAGCTAATAAATGAAGCAGCAAAACATGCACAAACCCCTCCCCACCTCCTCTTACCTTGTTCGGTACGTTTTCGCGGGGACTATCAACACCCTAAAACACCCCCTCGTCGCACCACGATACCCTACCTGCCCTGCCCAAAATCTCTTTTCCCACAATGACTACTCCGGCCCCTAAAACCCGAAAACCCTAAAACCCTAATAAAAGTAAATCATCTAAAACCCCTAAAAACCCCTAAAACCCAACAAACACTCCCAGACGGGCCGCATGTCGGCTCTGCCAACAAGCTGACCTACATCAAGGCCCTCATGTCGCTGAAACACGACGTGGACCTGAGCTGGGAGACCAAGAAGGAGGTCATCACCGCCATCGCGGACAACGCCCTGGCTTCCTTCGTGCTCATACAGCTGGCCCTTAGGAGGTGGAGGCTATTGCGGGTTGGGAGGAGGATTGCGGCGGGTTGAAGGGGCTGGGAAAGACGGGGGAGAGCAGGCAACACCCCTGTGCCATGTTCAACCCCTGTTCCAGTCCAAAGTGCAGTGTAGTCGAATGCTGCTTCGAGCTGGGTTCATGTCTCTCGTAACGTTTTGCTGTCCTACCCACTTTGCTGTCCTCTTTGACCCGTAGGGGAGAAGCTCTCGTAGGCTCACCTATTCGGCCCCGTCGTATAGATATTGCGCCTCGGAGGCAACCAAGGTTTTTGGCCCATCTTTGCCTCGTTGGCCTAGCAGTATTCCGCCTGCTGCACCCAGTGCCCCTTCCGTGCCTTCCATCCCCCGGCTTAGCCAAGGCCGTGCTTACCACGTTACCCCCTCCGGGCTTCCGTCCCAACTGCGGGTTTGCTGCTGCTGCTGCTGCTGCTGCTGAGGTACAGATCCGCGCGCCTCAAGAAGTACGCGATGCGAAAGGATCTCAATCGCCGCATGCCCGGCTTCCAAATCGCCATGGGCTTTGGCCTGCACGTGGGCTGGGCCATTGAGGGCGCCATCGGTGGGTGCTTGGGGTGGCCTTTATGGCTAGGGATGTGGGGCTAGGGATGTGGGGCTAGGGATGTGGGGCTTGGAACCAACCGTTCGGTAGGGTATCCCCCGAGTTCGTGAGACTGCTGCAAGTTGCAACAGGCGTTGGTCAAAACACACACATACGCATACATACATACATACACTATATGCAACCTACTATACGCACACTAATACATATGCTAACGCATACACATGTTAATGCTGCCACGTCAGGCTCCGAGTACAAGATTGACGCCAGTTACCTAAGCCCCAATGTCAACATGGCCTCGCGCCTAGAGGCTGCCACCAAGCAGTTCGGCGTGCCCCTGCTTTTGTCGGAGGACTTTGTGGACTGCCTGTCCAACGAAGTGCGCAGCAAGGTGCGGGGGGAGTTACGGGAAAGAGAGGGAAGGAGGGAGAGGAGTGGGTATGAGAGGTGGGGGTGGTATAAGGACTGGATGCTTCCCTAAACAAGTAGGAGGGGGGAAGGGAAACTGGGGGAAGGGGGACAATTCTTACGGTAAGGTGGGCCGCGACCTCATCCCCTTGAACTCAGGCTCTGGCTGACTGGCTAGGCTGGTGTGGGGCCATTCAACCCTCACTCGCATCCCATCCCACCCCACCCACCCACTGCACATTTTCCCAATGGTCCTCCAGGTTCGCCAAATCGACTGCGTAACAGTCAAGGGTAGTACACAGCCTATGGGGCTGTACACGTACGACATTGACCTGGAGGCGGTTCCGGAGCCGTCAAAGGAGGAGGTTGAGGAGGGTGAGTTGGTGCCCTACACTGGCCTTTGAGCCTTTGTGTTGCAAGTCCCTTGTTGTTGTTCGAGCCCTGTCCTTCCGGCTGCTATGAGCGAGGCCAGCGACCGGTGGTGGAGGAGGTGGTGGTGGTGGTGGTGTTAAAAAGAAGGTATGGAATTGAGTGGAATTACCCCCTAGATGGCGGCTGTGATCCAGGATGTCTTATGTCCTGAGCCCTGTCCCGATATCGTCATCATGCCCTATACACAGATCGACATACCGACATGTACTGCATGTGGATCTCGCGTAGCCCAATTCCGAATCCAATACGGTACCGTCGTACTGTCGCAACGACCTGTAATTCTCATTATGCTGCCTCTCGTGTCCCTCAATCCTTTCATACCGCCATGCCCCCCATTCGCAAAGCAATCTATCCGTCCCCCTTCCCTTCCCCCCGTAACCCCCTCCCCCGTCCCCCAACTATCCGCAGGTGACGACAGTCCCGTGGAGGAGCTGATGTGGAGGTCGTACATTTGCAATAACGAATGGCAGGAGAATCCAGATCTGGTGGACAGCTGGGGAGTGGATCCGGATTTCAAGGAGGACTTTGATCGCGGGTTTCATGTGAGTGGCTCCCACCCATCCTACACCACTTACAACGGGGTTCAGGTTTTGAGCCTTCTAAGAGCCCGGGCTTCAGCTTTCAAGAGTATCAAGGCCATTGCTGCCATTGCTATTTTTTTGCGCTTTCAAGGATTTCTTGTACACGTTACTGGGACGAAACGTTTGACGATCAAGCAAGTGTTCACACTATCATGGCCATAAAGGGTGATGTGTATGGTGCCCCGGCGCTACCCCCCCCCCACCTCCCCATGCACCCGCTGCCGCCCTCATGCACCCGCTGCCGCTTTCCTGACCGCGGCCTCAACGTCGCCTGGACGCCGCCTCCCCCACTCCGCACACCGCAGGCCTACCGGACCGGCAACTGGCCCGAAGCCCAGCGCTGGCTGGAGCTCACCCGCACTGCCTTGCGCGACGACCTGGGCCAGACTCGCGTGGACGGCCCCTCCGACGTGCTCCTTCGCTTCATGGCGGAGCACAACTTCACGGCGCCGGCCAGCTGGAAGGGGTACCGCGAACTCACGGAGAAGTGAAAGATAGGAAGGGGATTTTGGCAAACTGTTGACTGCTGTTGCTGCGGAGCCCGGCCTATTGGCATGTACATCTACCGCTACTGCAATAAAAAGCTGCACAGGGGACCCGGTTCCGGAGCAGCTAGGTGGCGCGGTTCAGGAGAGAAACCCCGGGTTATTTCTTTTGAGCGGGACACGGTCTGGTTCCGGAGCAAGATTCGAGGCGGCACGGTTCCCGAGCCGTGTCGAAGCGTATCTCCTAGAGGGGTTGAAGCCAGGTGTAGGAGCAGTACGGGCGGTGACGGAGACTCGCCCAGTTAGCTGACCCGGGAGCCCGTCCGCAGAAAGCGGTGGCGGGGCGAGGCGCTCGTTGCGCGTCAAAGGCAAGGAGAGGGGTTTCGGTGGAGACGGAGGGGACCCCTGATATCGCGTATCAGTGGCACATTCGGTTTTGTTGTCTTGGTGGCGCTGCTATGTAGCCAAGGTAGAGGCGGTGGTGGTGATGGCGGTGGTAGCGGGGTAGTGGGGGGGGGGACGGGAGGTCCCGATGCTCCGTGGAAGGGTGGGTTCATGCGTGTGGCCGCAAGAGGGAGGTATCAGCCATGGGAATATGGGGGTATCAGCCATGGGGAATCTACGCTTGTTTAAGTGTGGGAAGCTTTTTGGAGGGTTTTGTGTGGGAGCGTATTGGAGGAGGATTGGGGTTTCTGCCCAACCTGCTTTCCGATGGTGAGCACTAAAGTGCATTTGCATGCCCGCATGGCCGCCGGAGCACCTGGCGGCATGTCCCGCGCATTTCTCTTGTGTGTGTGTGTGCGTGTGTGTGTATGTGTGTATGTACGTATGTGTGCAATGTGAAGATAGTGCGCCGTACTTGGGGAAACTTTGCAGGAAACGTGTTCAGGCGTGATACACCTTAATAATCCATCGAGTCCCTGGATCGATCCTTGGGCGCTACAGAAAAGGAATCTCGGTTTGTCAGGCAGATGAAAGAAAATCGTTGGAAGGTGGCAGGTGCGCATCCGTGTCGATGCGTGGGCGGTGAAGGACTTGAGTCACCCTGAGACGCGCGAAGACGCGAAGAGAGAGGCCGGCGGGCACCGCCGTAGATACGGTAACAAGTCCTTCTGGGTGCTGCAGCTAGGTGGTGATCGGGTCTGAAACTGATCTGAGTCTCTGATACTAGTGTAGGGAACCTTGGGGCTTGTCAGATGAGCGGGGACTGCTGATGTGGGCCAGGGAAGGAGGGCAGGGAGCAGGGTTCTTCCCATGAATGAAGGTGGCGACATACATACGTATGAACCATTTGAACCATTAGCCCCTGGCACCCAGAACCACATGGATTGACGTGCGGTAAGACGTATAGAAGGAAGATGAGGGGGGGGGGCCCAGATGGACAGAGAGAAGTTGGAGGTGGGAAGTGGGCGTAGCGTCATCTTCTGTTGTTGTCACCGGGCACGCAAGGGAAGTACGGCAGTCCTGCACATAAAACCCAGTGCCTGGCACATCTCCTGCATCCTGACCGGACCTCTCCCCCCGCACCTCCATCACTGCAACTCACCTTACTTCACCTTACCCGTCGCCTCACTCGCGTCGGGGGACATGACCTCACTCCGTACTCACTCCGTACTCACTCCGTACTCACTCCGTACTCACTCCGTACTCACTCCGTTATGCGCTTATTCATTAACCCTTTTATTATCCGTTAGTATGGACCTTAGATGGCCGTCCCCAGCAATTACTTCAGGCGGTTCCACGCCACCCACTTCTTTTCTGCGCCTAACATTAGCAACAGCGGCCCTGTCTGTCCATTTGTCGGTGCGTCGGCCAGTCTGCCAGTCTGTCTGTCTGTCTGTCGGCCCAGTTTTGTGACTGCCAGAGAACTTAAACCACTTCGTCTGCTTGTCGGAAAGCTGTACATACATCTGATTGCAGAGGATCGGCACTCCAGCGCTGTGTTGTGATATGCAGAAGGCGGTGGGTATTTCCCCACAGACGCCTCCGCGCATTGCGCTCACAGGCATCTAAAACACGCACGTTATATCTAAGTGCATTTTTACGGCGTAGGAGGGGGGGAAAACGGAATGATGGACGAGAGGCCGAAGGCTGCTGGGGTTGAAGCCCTCCACCGAAGGCAGCTGCTGATTAACGAAATCCTGAACTGGTCAGACAATCTGTTTATCTGAATATTTCGCCTGGTTGGTGTTGGTGACGTTGAAGTAGGCTGTGAGGGCAACAGGAAGGTAACCTGTACTGACCGGGCCTGCCGCTGCTTACATCATCGTCGTTGCCGTTGTGAAGGCCTGCATGCACGCATGTATGTACGGTGTACGTATGTATGTATGTGTGTTGAGGCTTAGACGTCCAGGTTCCTGGCGCAGACATCGGCACCGGCACCGCCGGCTGAACAACATCCGGGAAGTGGCTGTGAAGGAGTTGTGTGTTGCACCCACCGTTGGCCCACTCCCGTTCCAGTGAGGATATACGCATACACATATGCGTGTTTTGCGTCCAGTGGAAGCGCAATCAGGAACGTGGTCAGCAGCAGCAGTAGTAGCAGTAGTCGTCGTCGTCGTCGTCGTAGTAGTAGTAGTAGTAGTAGTAGTAGTAGTAGCAGTAGTAGCAGTCGTAGGAGGAGGAGGAGGAAGAGGCGGTGTTCATGCAATGCAGGCTTGCATCTGATCCTTGAGATGTGCACGATACCTCACGCCTGCGTGTGTCATACCATTTAAGTGAAGCTCCCCTGAGGTAACACTTACAGCTTTTCATCATGGGCGCCGTTACCGCCTTGGTGCCCATTGTGCATCGTGTCATTGCATTATTTCGCACATACAGCCACGCAGCCATACCGGTGTGGGGCCCAGGGGTGCGGCAACCCCCCGGTGCAGCAAACTCCGGCAATATAGCCTCAGCAACAGAGCGCTCGCCTTTGCTTCGATAAAACACATAAAAAAAACCTTTACTTGAATTCTTATGAGGCGGAAATTGGCTCCGGTTGCTAGCATGCTGTGGGCATCAATGCCTGTGAGCCAAATTACTCCCTGAACCCTCTGAAGTGGCCCCAGCAATGCCGGTGTCACACACCCACTTCAAGCACATGGCCAACCGCGAAGGGGGTCGCACGGTCCAGATGGTGGTGGTGTTGATGGTGGTGGTGGCGTTGGCCAGAAGGCATTCAGCTATCGGGGCTCTCCTCTATCCCTGGGCGGGTGGCCCTGGTGTACACGCGGACCACTCGCTCAAGTGATGCCGACCTTCGACATCTCTTTCCAGACCTGTTGCCAGCTTCCGTACGAATGGTACGGTACCGTACGGATGGTACGAAAGGTACGGTACCATCCGCTGTAACAGCACCAGCAACGCCAGACGCAGTGGTGGCACCCACAGTTTGTGCGTCAAGTTCGGTTACGGGTTATCGGAGCAGGATCATGTTTATCGTACCAAAACGTTTCAAAGCGGTCATATGTAGGGTTCATTTGCCATGCAGTACGGCGAACGAAATCCGTTGACGATGCTGAAATGGAGGGTCCCCCGCCAGCAGCATGGGTTGCAATTTGCGGGTAAGATTGTGTGTATGTATACGACACAGCTTTCCCACGGCGAGGGTTATTAGGCGGCATTAGAGAGTGATAACGGGCGAGCGATGACGGGCAAGAGGAGGTGAGGGTACCCTGCATACCGGCATTTTTCTCTGTTATGTGGTTGTGGTCGCGTTAGTTGCGGACCAACCAAACCCAGTTACCCCAAGGAGCTCTTCCGAGTGATGTCGCAAAGGGGGCCCCAAGAATCCTGCCGTCGCGAAAAAATAACGAACGCCGCAAAACCTGCACGCAAACCTCGTCCGTCAGCTCAAAGCTTATGTGGACCTTTCCCCCGGCCCCCCGCGTTTTCGCTTCCTTCGCAGCCAGCTGGAGAATAGATGCCCGAGTTTTCCACTGCGCACGGGCCCCTCCCTCGGCCCCCTCCTGTGTGCTCCTTGAGGTACCCCTTCTTCCTCCGCCTGCTCCTCCCCTCAGCCGCCCCCACTGGCGGCGGTGAGCAACCCCACACAGCCCAAGTGAGCGGCACAGTCAGCCTCCTCCCCTCTTCATTGTTCCGGATCTAGGAGGCCCTTCCCCTCCCCACCCGGCCTCCCACTGCACCCCCCATTTAACAAACGAACTCCTACCCCTCCCAGCAGCATGTGCCGTAAAACCCAGCCCCGAGCCCAGACACGGCACACGGCCCTCTAGACCGCATGGCCCTCATGTCACGGTGTGGACATGTGCACCCAGGTACGGTCGAATGGCCCGCCCGCCAGCTCGTTTACATGTGCAAACCCCATAGCCCGCACCAAAAGCACACACACACACACACACACACACTCTCTCTCCAGAAAGCGCACCTCGCACGATCCCTCAAGTCGGTCCGAGACTTTTTCCCCACCACCACCCGACGACTCCCACAACCAGAGTTCCCGTCTTAACCCTGAGCCCCCTTCTCCTCCTCCTCCTCCACCACCTTATCCATCCCACCCCATCCCATCCCAGCAACATCATCATCGGTGCCCAGGTTACGCCACGAAGCCCTTGGTCTTGGGTTGCGGCTCGTAGCCGTATCGCGCCTTGAACCTCTGCAGCAGGTCCGGCTCCACGATGTTGATGGTCTCCAGCTGGTTACCCAGACCCACCCACCCGTGGGCCAGGTTGTGCTTGCGGGCGAAGATCTCCAGCTTCCGAGTGCCCGGGCTGAGGCGCTCCAGCAGGGGGTACATCTCGTCAGGCTTGCGGGACGTCTCACGAACATCCGCCACCACCACGTCGCAGTCCACGAACCTGCCGTACCCCGTACGGAGGGGGGGAGATGAGGTTATGGGGTCCAGGGGTGGATCGGAACAGGAGGCTGCGAGCTGCTGCAGGAAGAGATCGCCGACTATTGAGACATACACACACATACATACACACATACATACATACGCACATAGGCAGGTGGCTGACAGAAGTTAAGGCCTGACTTCTGCTCCCGGAGGTTCCGGGTTCAAATCCGTCTGCCGACCCTTCGATGTGTGAGGGGTATTGAATTGGGAGGTGGCCCCCCACCGTCTTGTGGACGTTGTAGGACGTGATTATATCAACTTGCGAGCTGACCAGGAACTAAGTTGTGGCGCCGTTGATCCGCTAGATTTGGTTGGATGCTGGTGGTGAGTTGCTGAACCCAACGAATACATTCTAAAGTCGGATGGGGTGAATGGATTACGGTGCCCCTCTCGCAGGGGAGAGCAGGGAACTGCCTCCAAGGGAAAGGGGGCCGCTGGTGAAGCGATGCCACCCTGTAACAACATCATACGCACACGCACGCACGGCACCGCAGGGGGCCAGGAAAACTGAATCTCATCAGTTCCAGATCCGGTAAATTACCAAATTTGCAACCACACAGATCAAATTTACATCTGCTCCCCCCCCTAACACACCCACATCCACATCCACATCCACACATGTACACGCTCCTACCCCCCCTCCCCCCGGACCGGGACCGGGACCACTCGCTCACCTGTTGAGCTGCGGGTTCCCCTTGATGCCCACCAGGCAGTGCTCTTTGGAGTGGTTCAGCCAGTGGCCGGTGCGGCCCGTGCGGATGAGCCGCTGCAGCTGGTTGGTCTTGACCCAGATCAGCTCGTCGACCCGCTTGTAGCCCCACTTGGCTAGACACTCACGCGCCAGCTCCATGGCGCGACCTGGCGGGGCCCCGGGCAGGGGGGGGAGGGGAGAAGACGAACCACGAATGAGTGAAGCTGATGCCAAGGGGGGGAGGGAGGGGAGGGGAGGGGAGGAGGCAAAGGCGAGGAGGAGGACTGCGCAACACGGAAACGGGCGACGGGGGGGAGAGGGGAGGCGAGAGAGGGGGAGGAAAGTCACCACCATACCACCAACTCCACCAACGCCTACCACCTGTCCATGCAACCACCCGCGGCTGCCTGTCGACCGCATGCAGAACCAACACATACCACGAGCATGTACAGGTGCCCCTCCCCTCCCCTCCCCTCCCCTTCCCCCCCCCACCCATACACACACACACACACTCACCGGTGACCCAAACGAAGATGACGCCATTGTCCTGCAGACAGCCAATGTTCATACTCAGCATCTCGTCATCCTTCATCGTACCGTACGGCAGATCTTGGTGGATCTCCCATGGTGGATCCGCCATAATGACTCCAAACTTGCCCAGTACGGTCATGTCGAAAGAACGAACATCGCAGTTAATCCATTGGGGCTCTTGTAACGCCTGGAGGTACCTGATCGGTTGGTCGGTTGCGGTTGATTGGTTAGCAGTTATTCGGTAAGTTAGGTTCATTAGACACATACTTGTACACATATGCGTGTTCTTATATCCGTGTTGATCTGTATATACATGTATATGTATATGTATATGTATATGTATATGTATATGTATATGTATATGTATATGTATATGTATATGTATATGTATATGTATATATACACATATATGTGGTGGTGGGAATGCGGGTGGTTGGACTTATGGGTTGTGGAACCAGGACGTTAGGGGCCCGCGCGCTGGGCAACACCCCATCCCCCCCCAAGACCCCCCTGGACTCCGACCCCGGGGGTGCACTGCCAGGTCTCCGCTAGGTGAGGGGGGGAGTAAAGAGGACATACATAGATACCACACACAACCTTACATACATACATACATACATATATACATACATACACACAGGGATCAAAGTACAAGAAGATCAATTGGCTTCCTTGGGAAGGGAGCGGTGTACGACAACACCCGCATATTCATTGCGTTTTCTTGTTGGTAAATCTATACGCAGCGGCCCACAGAGACACAGACATTGATACATCCAGATACACTTATGCCGTGCCGTACACACACAAACTCATGGGGCCCCGTACGGCACGTGTTTTCTCCCCTCCTTCCCCCTTACTTGGGCACGCTGGCGCGCAGTCGTGCAATCTCCGCCCCCATGCCGGGTACGTCAGGCTCGGGGTCGGGTCGGTAGTGCACGTACTTGCAAGTGCGCATGTTCCTAAGGAAGGGGTGTGGGTGGGGTGGGGGTTGTGGGGGGTAGCAAGGGAGGGGTGGGGAAGGGTCGTGCCAGTCGAGGAGGGGAAAGAGGGAGTCAGCGTGTGCATTAACCCCGTCCCCACTTTAAAACCCTAAAACCCTAAAATCCTAAACCCCTCCCCCCCTCCCCCCCCGGTGGCCCCACCTGCACGTGTCCAGGTAGCTGCAGTTGCCCAGCGATACATCCGTATGCGGTTGTACGACACGAAAGAAGTGTAACCGGTGGCACGCCAGGGGGTTGCCGTTCATCCTGGGTCCAAACACACATACACACGACACACACATGGGGGGTAAGGGGGAGTTTGGGGGTAGTTGGGGGGTTAAGAGGGAAACGAACACCCCCCTTTCAAACACACGCCAGGGCCGGAGACTGCGCGTAACAAACACAACGCCTGAGGGGTAAGGGAGGGAGGCATTAACCCACACATTCCCTTAAAGCTTCGCTGTGGGGGTGCGAGGAGGGTTACAGTGCCTCCCCAGCACGACACTCATAACATATGCACATACACATACGCATGGTGGTGCAATATGAAGCCAGGGGGGTCAACTGCCAACCCCTGCCAACCGACATCCAATCCACTAACTGCTTCTTTCCGCGCCCTCCCCTTCCCCCTCCCCTCCTACTTCCTGCACTCGTCCTTGGTGAGGTGCGGGCAGTGCTCCCGGATGGCCGAACCGCCCGCGGTACGGAACTGCTCCACGCGGGCGGACTCCCGCGCCGTGGGCTTGGCCAGGATGTCCAGGACCTCCGCACCTCTGCGTGGTTGAGCGGGGGGAGGGGTGGGGGGGATTGAATACTATGTGTGGGGGAGGAGGACGGGGGTTCGAGGGGGGGACCGGAACGGGGAGGGGGGGAGGAGGGGGAGTGGGACGCTTCATTTCAATGGTAAGCGGGGGTCAGGCCAGATAGGAAAGAAAGAAGTGCACACACGTACATACATACGTACATACATACAGGTCGCCCGGACACGAGCACAAACGTGCATGTCCATACTCCTTTCAGGAGTTGCAGTTGAACTAACGGACCGAGGGGTCCCCTCCGCCAATTTCTCCCCCACCCCCCTCCATCTGCCCCTCCCTTGCCATGCAACCCAACACCGCTCCACACACACTGCCGCACCAACCACCCGGAATCCCCTTCCCCCGGGCTACCCCCCCCACACACACACACAGATCTCCTTCACTCACTTCTCCACTTTGACCTTCTCCTTCACGGACCGCTTGTTGAGAAGCCCGTCGAGGTCCAGCAGCCCCCCGCCCCCACCGGCTCCCAGCCCCGGACCAGGGCCCCCTCTGGGCCCCCCGGCCTCAGTGCGCGGCCGCTTGGCGTCGGGAACCGCCTGCAGCTGCTGCTGCTGATGTTGATGATGTTGCTGTTGTTGTTGGCCAGCCAAGGGCGGCGGGGGCGGCATGGAGTTGGCGGAGGTGTCGGGTGGGGGGATCATGGGTGGCATGGGGGGTGGTACGGGGGGAGGCAACCCCAAGGCGCCGCCGATGCCAGATGCCCCCGCCATCATGCCGCCGCCAGCACCGGCCCCCGGGAAGGCCACCAAGGCGCCTGGGTTACCGCACGGGAAGGTGGGGGAAGGTGGGGAGTTCAACTCGAGTTCAGGACTGGGGCCCCGTAGTAACACCGAGATGGGGCACGTCTGTCTGTCTGTCTGTCTGCCTGTCTGCCCGTCTGCATATCTGTCTGTCTGTATGCATGTATATATATGTACATATGTATGTGATGAATCAAGAGGTGGGGAGGGAGGGTGACGGTGCTGCTGCCAGGGTGCAGTTAGTATGTAAGTATGTATGATGTGTGAAACAGGGGGGTGTATCTTCGCCCGTGGCAGCTACCCTGCGAAACCCTGCCTTCCCCGGTATTTCAGGGCACCCTCATCCAGTCACCCTAGTCAACTTCTCAGTGGATCGCTCAGGTTCCGCACCCACCACCAGCATCCAACGGAATCTGCCGGGTCGACAGCGGCCCAACTCCATTCCTGGTCGGCTCGCAGGTTAACTTTATCCCAGGTCACCACCGTCCATCAACTAGGGGCGCAATGCCTTCCACCATCGGAAGGACTTTTGACCCTAATGGGTATCGATCCCGGGATCTCCCGGGGGCAATGGTCGCGCCTTACCAGTAGTGCCAAACCCTAGTATAGTATGTATGTATGTATGTATGTATGTATGTATGTATGTGCTTTGGGCACGAAACTGGGTTCGCCAGGGCATTGGAGGAAAGCGGGATATGTGCGGGGGTGTGGGACGCCATGTGGATATCTTCTTCGCCAACACGAACCCACCCCCCTGCCCTTGCCCCTTCGACCACCCCCCTCCCCCCGACACCTCTCCATACCGCCNCACCACCCGCCCCTCCATACCCGCACCCGCTGCCCCCC